TTGTTGGTTCCTTTAGGCCAATAAGTGAGTCACATGACAGCCGGGTATTTACAGTGCGTCCTGTCACTGGCCTTGTCAAATCACAGCACACTTCAGTGAAGCCTAGTGAGCCCTCGGCTGGACTTCAGCTACACTGACGGAGGCAAAGGTGATTTTTGTCCCCCCCCCCCCCCCCCGCTCTTTTGGCTAGAGCATACTGCAACCCCGAATAATGCAGAAGAACAGGAGGGCACGGGAGACGTGTGTGCGTGTTAGTGTGTGTTTAAGACAAGTTGTGTGTTTGCACATAAAAGCGGGAGAGATAGAGAGAGAGAGAGAGAGAGAGAGAGACGTAAAGGGAGACACAGACTGTCTGCAGGAGAAATGAATTTGAGGCCCATTTATCTTATGAATGAGCCTCTGGAGGGCATTCACCCCCAGGCGGTTCCATGAATTGTAGAACAAATAAAAATGCACTTCTGGACCCACATCTGAGGGCAAATTCTCATCAGTTTTTTTTTCCCTCTCGTAGTTTTGACTTGAGATTAAACCAGCAAATGATGCAATAAACACCAACCAGCAGTCTGCTAGAATCCACTACTCTTTATCCCTTTGAATCGTTGGACAATCTTTGAATCTTCGGTTGCTGGTTGAATTAACACTCTAGTTAATAAGAAGAGTTACCGTGCGTCACTGCATGGTTCGAGCACTCCCGCTTTGAAGCCTTAAGCTCGACATTTTTGCCTTCTCCATTTTGACTTTTCACTACCAGAAGTGACACGAGAGAGAGCTGTGAGCATCGCACATCATGCTCCTCCAATGGCAGCGTTGACGAGACAATTCAGCAAACTCAGCCTTCTTTCCATAGAAGGAGTAGTTATCACTTTCCCTGTTTGCATTTCTGTTCCATGGTGTCGTCCGGTGGCGGACTCAAACCGTCCAAAGGGAGCCGCATAGAAGGCAGAAAGCTTTCTCATCACGGCAGCCGCGATGGCGCCACATCAAGTTTGCTCCTTTTAAGGGCATCGTGTCTCCACTGGAAGGGCGAACCAGAGGGAACATAATCAATCCAATAAGGCACTTCTGCGTTTCTGTCAAACGCGGGTGCGCCGTTGGGACGTCGGGACGTTTTGTACCGTGGATCTCGCCTGGTTTAGCTTTAATGCTGCTGACAGCCTGCTGAGGGCTCAGACAGCACACACCAGCTACAGAGCCATTGCTAAACATTTCTCTTGGACACAACACACAGTACAGATCAAATACCAGGACAGAAATACAGCAGCCCGCTTATGAAAACAGGAGTCAACAGAGAGGGTAGCTGCACCACAGTGATGCTTTGAGTTGAATTCCCTGAGGCGCCTTTTTGTTTTTACGTTGAATGCATTCAATGGTAACGTACCATTTACAATGTTAATGTTCTTTTACCACCGTGAAAGCCAATGCTTTTCGTTGACATTCTACAGAAAATTCCAGTAAAAATGTTTTATTTAGCTGAGGGAAAACCGATAATCTAAAAGTTAGGCGATAACCGTTGAAATTGTGACCTGCGTTCTCTCGATGCACTCTCGCTACAGCAAACTTTTTCATTTGCGGTATCGCTGAAGTTGTCGCCGCTGCTCGTTTTACTCTGCAGTGTCTGATACATTGTCAGAAAGCCTCGGGGCTGCAGATCCCATTTCAGGGAGCTGCTATTTGAGGGGAAGAGGAGAAGGCAGTGACAAATCCAAAATGTGAGTGCATGCACGGAGGGAGAATTTTTACTCTGGTCGTATGTAGGCTTCATTTATATGGGTTTCAAAATTCAAGCTACTGTGTTGAAATATAGTAATTGCTCCGTGCCGTTAACCTAACTGTGGTGGTAAATCTTTGCTTTGAGGTACTGGCTTGGCCGTGTGATGTAAGTGACAACATGCAAAAATTACCATTAAGTCATTTTAAGTTATAGTTTACCAAATAGTGAAGTATTTCATGTGTTGTATTGGCTTTTCTTAAACAAATATGTCTATTTTGTTTTCCAAAATGTCTTTCATAGACGGAAAGCTATTTCATTCTGTTATTCTACAATTATATTTGAACTGAATTATTAGTAATGCGTTCCAAGCTTGAAAACAGTATCAGGGCTATAAAACAATGTTGAATATATTGTCTGTGCTCACCAAAGGACCAAACGGAACATCAAGTTTTAACTTCACTTGCTTCACGGGTAATTGTGTTTATGATGGATTCATCCTTCCTGTTATTAATGTAATGACCCTGAACGGAAATCACTATTCGGGACAATGGCAGCAGGATGATGTGTGTGTGTGTGTACGTACGTATGACTTTTTTTCACACAAAATGTAACGGGAAACATTGTAGCCATGTTTACACATCAATACGTTTTAAGCCCAAATGCAGAGTAAAGCTTTACAGGGAGTTTTCCTATTACACACGGAGCATCATATTTGTATTTCTTTCACATTCTAAAATTGTGTTCGATGATGAATCACTAAACAAATTTTCTCTTGCTCGAAGGGAACTTCTTCCGCCATATATCTGAGAGGAACTCTTTTCTGGGTGCCTCATACACTATGGAAGAGCACGGGGGGGGGTTGGAGGACTGAAAGCGACTTGGTGGCCCAGTGGACTGGAAAACGCTGGCCCCTGGCAGCGAGGCAGTGCATGGCTCCATCTAACGTGGCCACTGGCTCATTAGGGGTCTGATGTAAGGAACACGGCGCAAAGAGTTTCAGAAAGAGCCCACTGAGCGCAGTGAAGCACAGCGGAGAATATCCTGGTCCCTCATCTCTAAAGATACATCCCTGAGACGTTGTCACCGCTCAGCGATCGGGCCTCTCTGATAACGCGCTCAGTGGACGGCCAGCGATGCTTTTCAGAAACCACCGTATCGCTCCGCCTCATGCAGAGCATGCACAGCCTGCCACAACAGGAGCTGCTGGCAGGTTGGTCATCAATGAAAGGAGGCGGAGAGAAATGGATGGAGAGAGAAGTGGAGGAAAGAATAGAGAGAGGAGCAAAGAGAATGACGGGCTCGGCTCTCCTCCGCCCCCTTCGGAGGTGAGGAGGAGCAGGAGGTCCTTCTGCTTCAAGCTCAGCTGCACGTCAACCCGATCATTACATCACACGAGTGTTTACATTGACATGATGGATGCTGTAGGAGTGGATCTCCACCAATGCAGTCCAGCTGATTCGGTGTACTGCGAAGCATGAGAAGAGCCGCCTCGGGCCACATGGAATCTAAAACGGTTTCTGCGGGAAACATATTTTGGGGTTGATGGTGGAATTTCAGCTTTTTTCATAGAGCCACTCAGACAATCTATTCATTTGTTAATCACGTGCACAATGTGCATGCTTGTGCAACTTCAAACAGCCCGGTCGAACGCAAGCTTAAGGAACCTGGAAGCAGTGTTTTGCAGTTTTCAGACCCATAGAGCGTAATCATTTGGACATGTGACTTTGTGAAATTAGCATGAAGGGTTCTGGAGCACAAACAAACATGATTAACCCTAATTGTGTCCCCCGTATGCTTAAGCAATGTCAATGCCAGCAAACGCGCATAAGAGGCAATGAATAGAACCGAATGCAGACACTCCACAATGTGGTGGCAGGGAGGGAAGGTGGAGGGGTGTGTGTGTGTGTGTGGGGGGGGAAATAGCCCCGTTCATCTCTCATTTTCTGCCCGCTTCTACCCGGCAGAGTTTCTATGGCAACCCCCTCAAAAAGCGGTGTGCGGTGAATTGTGTGTGTTTGAGATGCGCTGTCTGATTGCGCCGCGCGCAGGAGATGACTGGCTCTTTCGTAAGCCTCGCGCTGTAAAAGGAAATTGGTGGAGAGCTCCAATGGAACGGCACTACATATGCTTTCCTCCGTGCGCGCGCCACTACTACAGCACGCGAGTGTGCGCGCGTGTGTGTGCGTGCGCGCGCGTGCATGCACGCACGTGGAAGCTTTACATTAGAATGTAGTGCCCCCTGCAGAGCGCTGCTCATCCGTCGTGGCTCCGAGCAGACTGCACGCGGCTCTCCGAATGGATCCGTCCGGCCCTGCGGACTCATCAGTATGCGTTCGGGTTCCAGCTGATGACGTTTCGTTTCCACTCTGAATTCCCCGCAGTGTGTTTTTCATTTAGGGATCTTTTAACGGACGAGCCGGAGAGCGCACACACGGCAAAAGCAGCACAGAAACCTCACGTTGCCCCCCCCCTCCCCTCACACACACACCTTACATCCCCTCCTCACCTATCCTCTACCTTTGCATGTGACTGATGTGCACGGCACGGTGGGGGGGGGGGGGGGCTCTGTGCGGAGGTTCTTGTGTGTATCTGAGGAAGAGGAGGACATGTTGTTCCCCGTGAGCTCTCCGTGTGTCTCTGAGTGGCTGCGCGATGCTCGTGAGCTGTGCCAGTCTCCATTAGCATCCCATTATCAACCAGCATGATCAGTCGTCACTTAGAATGCCTGCCACTGGGTGCGCGTGCGCGTGAGAGCTTTTTCTGTGATTGAGATGGCCTTGTTTCCAAAAATCATGTAGGAGGGTGGGGGGGGTGCTGCACAGTCTTGCACTGTGTACAAATTAATTTGAATGTGTCTGCAAGTATTTGGTTTGTTTGACCCAGATTTCTCACCTACCACACTGTTGATAAATTGGATGTCCTGAGGCAGGCAATTTAATCTAGTCGAAACGTAGTGAACAGCGCCCCCTGCTGACAGCCTGTGTACCACATGGAGGCTCAGAATTTAAATCCTTGTATGGAAGATGATTGAATCACGGGCATAAATAAATGCAGGGATATTTGTGTGGTTTGATTGCACATTGCTTCTAGGAACAGATTGTGACAATGGAGGGCATATACTCATATATGTCAACATATATAATAAGACAATGTTGTCACGTTGTAATTTAAATTGTGGTTGAGGCGGAAACCTGAAAACCTCTTGCCGTAAGTGAAATAATATGATGTTTTTTATTTGGGTGAGTGGATAATTTTCATTTATCTTCTTGTTTTGTCTCTTTCTCTACAGACACCGGCGTGAGAACCCCCCTAGAGCTGCAAATAAAGCCCCCGCATTGAAAGCCCAGGTATGACTAACAACAGAACCTACAAATGCATTCCATCGATCTGCTCCGGGACCAGTGTCGTGGCTCACCAGGAGCCATAAATGGAATGGAACCATCATTAATGTTATTATTCACCCCTGTGCCGGTGAGTCAAGATGTCTGCCATGAAGGGAAATCCATATTTCACTCCTCCTCTCTTCTCCTTTCTCCTGGCCGCCGCCCTCTTACCTTCTCTGCTCCCAGACACACACACACACACACACAACCTCCAGAGCCCTCTGCCTCTCTGCTGCAGGTCTGGAGGAATGTTGAGTGTCTCTACAGCCCCCTCCCTGGAGATTAGGCCTCACCATGCCCCCCTCACTTCATTCCAATCCAAAGTATGCCCCCTAAGAGCTGTCGCATTTTTATCTGAGCCGGGTGATTGTGACAGATTGGCCAAATGACACACAAACACACGCCGAGGCACAAAAACCGAGGGGAGGCTGGGGTCCAGGGTGGGAGGATGGAGCGGAGAGGAGGGTCGGGTCGGGGGGGGGGGGCGGACAGCACCAGGCTCCTGCTATAAAACCCTCCCGGGATGAGGCCAGTGTCCTGCCCTGAGCTGGACACAACCTCCTTCCTCTGTGCCAGGACGCCGGCGGGACAGGCAGCAGACGAGCCTCCACCATGAACGACATCTACAAGGCAGCGGTACGTCCTCTCGCACCCGGCTTCCTCTCATTTTAATCTGTTGGATGCTCACCCCCCCGGAAAATGCGAATCCGTGTGTGAACTAAACCTGGTGTGAGGGTGATAAACCATAAGAGTTTAGTATTGTGACCCACGGCGAGTGACTCATGATGTCTGTTCATATACTAAAGTCCTCCATCACTGCGTTCGTCTGACATTACTTGACTTGCCTCCATCACCTCCATCACCCAGCTGATGTTCAGGGGGACACCATATACGTCCCTAGACGTTCTCCTACTTCAGCTCCTATCTGAGCTGATAGGGGCCACTCAGGAGGTCACCGACGGGACAGACGCCCGCGCCTTGCAGCTTCATTCGGGACGCCCTCCCTCCCCCTTCTACGCGGCTAAATTGGGCCGGTTGCTCAGACGCTTTCCGGGTCCCCAGGCCTCTGGTGCCAGAGGAAGGCTTCAGGTTTAGATAACCCCCCCCCACCACCACCACCACGCCCTCGGCCCCCGCGGCTGAATTCCAGCATTATCTGTGAGCCCGAAAGCCGGGCGGCTGCGGATGGTCAGCCGGCTGTCCCGTCCACTCTCACCCCGACGGCACACGCAGCCTTGTGCTTTTGTTTGTTTAGATGGACCCTTTTCTTTTCCCCACATATGACCATGGAGTGTATGTGTGCGTAATGTGTGTGCCCGTGTGTGTGGTTAATTCATAGTGGACGACACACAATAACTCTTACATAAGCAGCTGTCTGCCTCTTTCATTCGTGGTAGCTTTTCCAGGATTACTGTCCCATTGTTGGGACAGATCCACAGCTATGCTAATTTAAAGCACTGTGTATTGTGTCCTTTTATCGGTGGTTCCTGATCCTGTGTGTTTATTTTTAACTCCTCTTACTGGCTCTCACGTGATGTACAGGTTCTGTCAAGGATGGCCCGGTGTGTGGGGCAAAGATGTTACCTTTTCCACTGAAAACAGAAAGTCCAGTTCAGATATACTAATAGATTTCAAGCTAAACACATGCATAGTGATGTAAGAGTAACATACAGAAATAACTGAGAAGTAATTTCCTGCGTTGGTACAACCAGAGAACCAAAGCATCAGTACATGAACTTTTTTACTTCTTGCAGGTTGAGCAGCTGACGGACGAACAGAAAAATGGTGCGTAAACTACAAATTCTGACTTTACTCGTCACTCGTATGTGAAGCTCTCATTCAATCAGCCATCTGCACAGCGTGCATAATGTTGACAGCGGGTTACGATAGCGTGGCTCAGACTGTCCAGCGCTACGTCGCGCTCATGTCCCCCGCCCCGCGCGTTGCAGAGTTCAAGGCCGCCTTCGACATCTTCGTGCAAGACGCGGAGGACGGCTGCATCAGCACCAAGGAGCTGGGGAAGGTGATGAGGATGCTCGGGCAGAACCCCACCCCGGAGGAGCTGCAGGAGATGATTGACGAGGTGGACGAGGACGGTAAATCATAACACCTCGGCGCTCACAGTACAGGAGACTAAACGGCCGGGTGATTGCCGCCGGCCTCTCCGGAAGCTCCTTCACCGGTGCAGATCAGCGAGGTTCAGACCCCCTGAGCTCTAAATGTCAAACGATTGTCAGAGGGGAGGGGGTCTTACACACAACAAGATTTGTCGGGCCGAATTAAAGAGAAACGCATATCGGATGATAGACGAGTCAACTTGAATTTTCTCTGTGCCTTTAGTGATGAAAAACCTCAAAAGTAGGATCATGGTCATGCTGTCAAATAGTGTAACTACAGAAGGCCACAGAAAGGGACATTTAAAGGCACAATACGTAGTTTACATTGTGTTTAATAGATTGTTTTACGTGGTTAATGTGAAAGCCTTTTCGTTGTGGTCTGAAACGCATTGTTTGGTGTGCAGGAAGCGGCACGGTAGACTTCGACGAGTTCCTGGTCATGATGGTGAGGTGCATGAAGGACGACAGCAAAGGGAAGTCTGAGGAGGAACTGGCGGAGCTGTTTCGCATGTTCGACAAGTGAGTTTTGAAAACTGGTTGCTGCTTCGTCCCGTTCAATTTCAAAGTTCACAGATACCGTGAAGTTGACGAGAAAGTGAATCCCTGCAGACCTGTAACAAAACTCCTGAGAAGAAGGCTGCCCACGTGCAATTATGTGTTCTGACGAAATGCCAGGCGGCTCTGCAGAGCACAGCACGCCGTTTGCGCCGCAATCCTTTTCGACAGCAGAGAATATTTCAAACGCCCACTGCGTGTGAGCCAGACACTCGTCTGAGCATCGAGGCACAAACCTTTTTCTCTCTCTCTGTCTAACAATTAAGTGTTCCAGAACACCTACAGAGCCAATCGGTCACGTGACACACACATACACGGCCATCTGTGGAGCTAAACCTAGTCTTATTAAACCTAGGCTTTGTGCATTAAACCTAGGCTTTGTGCATTAAACTTAGACTTTGTGCTTTAACCTAGACTTTGTGCATTAAACATGGGCTTTGTGCATTAAACATGGGCTTTGTGCATTAAACATGGGCTTTGTGCATTAAACCCAGGCTTTGTGCATTAAACCCAGGCTTTGTGCATTAAACCCAGGCTTTGTGCATTAAACCCAGGCTTTGTGCATTAAACTTTAGGCTTTGTGCATTCATGTATTTCACTCCCTTTTTGGTTTGTGCAGGAACACAGACGGCTACATCGACCTGGACGAGCTGAAGATGATGCTGGAGTCCACGGGGGAGCCCATTACCGAGGACGACATCGAGGAGCTGATGAAAGACGGGGACAAAAACAACGACGGCAAAATTGACTACGATGGTGAGGAGGTTTAAAATGTGAAGTGATAGAAGAGGGAGAAGGTTGTGTGGAGCCGACGCTGCGACACTCATTCCCCCGAAACACGCGGAGAACAAGACGTTTACCCGATAAAAAGAATCTTGCTTCAGGCTCCGACGTCACTTGCTAACCGTGTCTTCCCCCGATCCTACAGAGTTCTTGGAGTTTATGAAAGGAGTGGAGTAACCCCGAACAAGAGACGAGGCCACGGCGTTATTTATGTATTTCTACGCGGAAAGCTGGAAGCTGATTTGGAATGCCGCTGATAGAAACGAGGGGACGACTTTGCAAAATTCAGCCGAATACTGTGGCTGAATGTTCATGTGTTTTTCTACCATCTCTTGCATCGTTGTAAATACAGTGTGTAACTACTTTTCGGTGCCCGTGTATACAGAATTTGTGTGAATGTATCCGAATTACTTGTGTTTCCTTTGGAGGCCCCATAGTATTCGTTTCCAACTAAATCTCTAAAGTGCCACAGCCGGTTTACAAATGAGAGGCCGCTGTTGTTCAGCTGCACAGAAAAGCAAACAAAGCAGAACACATGACGTGGTTCAACACCAGGCTACATAAGAGCAGCGTATGGATCCAGTCAGTACACGGCACGTGTTCTGGTCTGCACGTTGTGTACATTTTGGTATTTTTAAGAGACCCTCGGGGCTCTTCAGTCCCCTCTTGGGCCCCTGGAATGCATATCTATCATACTGCAACACTAAATGTCAGTTTGAAATGTGCACCCATGTAATAAACACGATGCATTTGTCACAGCAGTCATGTTGTACATTTTTCATTTAGTTTGAATCGTCTTAATTTTAAAGTTTAAAAATATATATATTTTTCCTCTTTCTTTTAAGTGCTATTCTTGAATCGAGATTGTTTTGTTTTTGGCTACATAGAGATGTCACCAAACAACGTCTCTCCCCAGAAATCATGACCTGGTCACTCAAGATAAACCAAAGACCTGAACATTTCATTTATTTTTATTCAAACCATACTTACTACGTGAAACTGTTCACAAAAAGGTCCATGGATCATCTTGAGTAACCAGGTCTTCATTTCTGGTCACTTTGAGCCGTCTGGTCCCATTATGATGGAGAAGTTAAGCATCTCTACAGGACGTATCTCCAAGGCAACTCCCGGATTGTAAATAGCACTGCAGGTAAGAGGATGAAAGACTCTTTTTATTATTATTTTTGCTTTGAAGGACAGAGTTTGACTTCTCGCCTTCGACCAGACGTCTTCTTCTGTCCTCAGGCCTGTACTTCTTCCTGTTCCTCTGTCCTCACTTTCCAGTAGTTATCGAGAGCCAAGCAGCACTTAGTTTACAATCTTGTTCCCGATTCGTCTCGCTGCTCTTTGGATTCTGCAGGCCGATCACACGCTCGCCTCCCTGCTGCTCACACAGCAGACACACAAACCCAGGAGCCCCGAAACATCACCGATGTGATGTCAAAACGAGATCAGCCCGGTCTGCCTTAGAAGCTGACGCGTCCGTGGGATTCGTATTCTATAGCAGCTCTCGTCTGCGGCATTTGAACTATGCGTGTGGTTGCCGTGTGCGTGTTTAGTTACAGTCTATTGAGACCGGAGCTATTTATGTCTAATCATGTTAGTGCCCTTGTTAGGGGATCTGGATTGACAACCAGATGCCTTTGTCCATATTAAGAATGCTATTTAACTGCAAAGGGGCCCAACAGTTCTATTGTTGAAACGGCTTTAATTCGGCCGCGTGTCGGCACGTAGAAATGTCTGCATCAGTTCACTGCAGCACCCGTCTGATTCCAGGCGTCTAACGTGTGACTTTCAGCTTCATGTTCGGAGGAGTTGCTTACTGAGACAAAACAAGAAGTACCTTTGTGTTGATCCTGAGTGTCTCTGTCGTGTGGTGCTTCACTATCAGGTGAACGGGCTGCAGTTCGCACTGCGCCCACTTGATGTCAGCAGGAAAACGCTGTTAACATCTGTTTGTTTGGATCAGGACGCGTTTCATGGCACAGCCGCACTGTTTTGCCGAAATAAGCACACAGATCCAGTCAGGAAGAGAGAGAGAATTGTTGGAATTATATTTGAATAATAACTCAAATATACCATTATTTGAAAAACAGGGTTCATTTGGGTCCATTTCCTAAAATTAATATATATCATTAAAAAAAAAAAAGTCACAAAAAAAATCAGATATTTTCTACATTTCCACTGTTCGGTAGATCGGTGGAAACGTCCCAAACATCCCGGAGTCTCCATGATGATGGGCCTTTAAACCCCAATCAGCAGTGAAGCGCAGCAGCTGCTTTGCCTTAACCCCCCCCCCTCCCCTCTCCCCCTCCTCCCCCCATCAATGGGAGGAGGCGGGCGGCAGCTGAGCGGTGTGTGTGTGAATGAATCTGGGGTGTGGCGCACTTGCAGCAAGTTGGGTGGGGGGGAAGTGACGCAGTTACGTAAGAGCCTGATGACTCCTGCCCGCTGTTATTAACACACGCTTATGATCCTCCTTTTGTAACTCAATGTGCAGCTCAGGGACACACAACCCCCCCCCCGAGGCCCCCTGGGGTCCTCACGTGTGACCCTCTTAACACTGACCTCAGAAGGGAATTGGGTAGTATAGCACATCAAAATTACGTAACTGGCTCCATTCATTTGTTCGCTCTGTGTGTGTGTGTGTGTGTGTGCGTGTGCGTGTGCGCTGGGTAAAACGGGTTATTCTATTGGATAATAGTGAGTCAGGCAGATATGGAGACACACACACACACAGTGTCTCGGTGCTCTGTGAAAATGTCCTAATCCTGTGTTATTAAGTCAAGCCGGCAGTGGGATGTTTCCCTGATCTTTTTTGTGCCTTTTATGATCTATGAACGTGTAAACGAAGGCTTGGGCTCCGTTGGGCGTTCACCACTCATTGCGGCCCACGCAGGCCTCGCACTGAAGCCAGCGGCCTTTGGTTTTTTTTAGAAGATTCCTGTTTTTCCGGCTTCTCCGGGTCACACCGCGCCGGTATAGACGTCGAGCGGCAAACGCTGCCGCCTAATCTCTGGAGATGTTCCATTCACCATTAACACATGCTCCCAACATCTCCAGTTTCATTATCGGCTGTTACTCCGAATTATTTCTGATGTTTTTAGGGGTATAAGCCCTATTTTGTGCTGTCATCTGTTATTGCATCCCTTTTTAAAAGCATCATATTTGGAAGGTTTCCAGAGATGCTCGGTTGCTCTTGTTGCCGTGAGTACACAATGAGGAAGTGGAACCTTTCAAGACAAAGAGAGAGAGAGAGAGGGGGGAAGGACTGCAGATCAAACTGGAACAGACAGAAGCATCACGATGCTTCATCCCACTTCTGGTGCGCAGAACACTGAGGCTCTGTGTCCGCGGCGGCCCACCGAGCAGCGACCACGACGCAGCTCTCCAATTCCACAAGAACTGCTCACTGATTCCAGTGAATGACTGCGATTGTTAACTTCCAATTTACCACTGGAGGGTTCGTCTATTTTTACCACTTTTGAAAAGGGAACTAGTGTGTGAGAGTGTGTGTGTGTGTGTGAAATAAGTATTGATTGCATTCTTAAAAGTAACTGCAGTCGATCTGAAAAACAGATACGACAGCCACAAAGTGAACAAACTCTGTGTTTAGCCGGAGAGATGAGCGGCATCTTCGGCGTTGAAATTTGTGACCTCACTACGTAGCAGCGGTCCCGCTCCAGGAGCCACACGTGGCCTTGTGTGACCGGCATGCCAGCGCTTCCTCCTCCGTTCGGGTTCCCAGGCGAGCGGCGCCCGATAGACGGGTGACCTTTACTTCGTGTTGGGTCTAGCAGCAGGACGAGGAATGTTCCCTTTCGTTCGCCGCGGATTTAAGCCGCAAACAAACATCACCTTGTTTTCCGTGCGCTGGGTGATGCGTGGGGGGGCGGGGACGGGGGGGGTCACCTCGCAGCAGCGCACCGGATGGCGTAGTTGGCCCGCCGAACGGGAGGCTTCTGCCGTTGACAGATGGCCGCCTCGCTCTGCCACAAGTGCTCCATGTGGCTGCGCTTTACACACATGACCCAGTATCGTCCTCGCCAAGACTCGCACGCTTCCTCCCTCCCGCCCCGGAGGACACGCATGTCTCTCAGAAAGGGTTTAGGCCTTTATTTGTGAGGCGTGTTCGAAGGGCTTGTTTTTGGAAAGTTGGTGTATCTGCCGCGTGTTCCCGGGCAGATAAGACGCTTCCTGTCAGGTGACTCGGTGGATGTCTAAACTAGTTGTGGGGATGTTAAAGTTGACAGTTTGGAGGCCTTGTTCCTTCTTCTAAATGCGTGCTTCCTCTCCGCAGCCCACGAGAGCTCTTCCACAGCGCGAGGAGGAAACCATCGCAAACGGCTTTTTTCAAATTCGATTCGGTGCCTCCGAATCGGATCGGATTGAACCGTTCAAACGCTTAAAGCGTCCGTGTTTCAGTGCGCACGTTCGCCCGCACTGGCCTAAAAGGAGTCAGTGTATTACAAGAGGACGAGGGAACGGGCCTCCTCCTCAGTGAGGATGATGTCATCCCCAGATTAGGATTATTCTCCCCGGCCCACCAGCATCTGCTGTGAGCAAACAGAGCGAGATCACTGGGGGTCAAAACACGATGGCAGATATTCAGACGACTTTTCACCTGCATTTATCATTCAGCTGTACAGCGATAGCGGTTTATCACTCATGCAGAAGACCAGGAGGCATCGAGTGAGACTGGAAGGTGAGTTTGTCCTCATCTGTGCAGTGAAGGCCAGCTGGAGAACACGAGCCAGTTGTTGTGCATCAGAAGCAGAGGCAGCTGTGAAATTACTGTCAGCCATGCAGTATGCGAACTATGTTCTCACGACCGCAGCAGGTGTGAACCAGCGCCGGCTGGCTTCTGCTCAGCCTCCACAACACACACACACATACACGCACATAGCCTGCAGACAGACACATGTCCAATATCCTGTCCGTCTCCTGCACATCTGCTTCCCCCCCCGGCGATGCCGACTCAGCACTGCGTTGGCCCCCGCTTTCCTTCGTGGTGTGTGTGCGATCACGGCTGGACAACAAAAAAAAAATACTCACACAAAGCGTGTTGGTCATTTCTGAAAAAAGCTTAGTAGGACATGTTTAACTCAGACGCCCCTCCTTGACCCCCTGGGGGTCACCGGGTCACGCTGGAAAGCCACTCAGCAGCTTCAGTTCTCACAAACTGTTATTGGACCCACGAACTGCTGCACAGATCAGCTGCAGAACATTTCCCTCCTCCATCTTTTTCCTTTGCTCACTTGAGAACGCTCGCCTGCTGTTCATGAATTATAGCGTTTAAGGGTGGAGATCCCCTGCTTTGCCTTCCTGTCGTCTGCATGGACGGGACACGACAAAAGAGAGCACGTATTTCTTTGGAAATGTTCCTATGTTGCATAGAAGCATCCTCAGGGTTTTTTAACACGCGTGTTTCACCTTGTGAACTCGTCTTACAATGACTGAAATAAGGAGCTGTGAGTATAATTATTAATGAATAATAGTATTTGGAAGAATATTAACCGGCCTTTAAATTGTAAAATTAAAACTGACTAAACCCCCCTGACACACACACACCATCCAGTGTCTTTCACCTTTCCATATAGTTATCAAATTGATCCTATATATTATATATTGCTGTATTATTCCATGTTTTATCTTACTGTACTATGCTGAACTGAACTGAATAGTACGTCATATACCATCCAACGTAATAATGTTCTATATGTCATGTTTACACGGGCCCCTAACACATTAACTCGGGTGTACGCGGCTCGCATGGACTCGTTGACCTCACAGTATCATACGCCTCAAATGAATATTGCGCAACGCCGCAACTGGATCCCCCCCCCCCCCGAGTTGCGGAGGAAGGGCTGCCGGAAGTGTCTGTGGTCGAGCCCCGCTTCCTTCCAGCGCTGCTCGAGTGACTGGCGGTGGTGGCGGGCGTGGCGGCGCCGCCGTGTTATAGGAGTGAGCGTGTCCGCTCCGTGGCGTTGCAAGATTCGCCGCTGCCACTCGTCTTGTCAAGAGAGCCGGTGGGAAACAGGAAGTCAGGCCTCGTGGTGGACGGGGGCCGGACTTCACGGAGCGGTCTGAGGTGCCGACCACTCTTTTGGGTTTGTTTTTTTTTGAAAGTGAAAGTTGAGTAAAAACAGGAAACAAAATGATTTTCAAGTAAAAATATACAATATATTTGTTGTATAAACTTGTACAGAATGTCTTGGACATTTAGCTTTACATATACTATACATAAGGGTCAAAAACAGGGTCACTTTTGCATCCTTCATGATTTTAAGAAAATGTCCCCCCCATGGCAACCGCATTTTATGTACATCTTTACAAAGATACCAAAACGAAAACAGCCCTTGGATGCACTTTAAGAGGCCGCGACGAGATACAGATGACTGGTATAAAAAAATCCCTGAAAATGTCTCTCTTTGAGGTAAGAACATATTTCGTCAAACTTGTTTCCTTTTCATTTCCTCTCACTGTTCTGAGAACAGCTGATTACACATTGTGCCATCAGAAGGGAGTCGCTGCAGACCAAAGGCGTAAAAAAACGAGGCCGTCCATTCCTTTACGCACCGATTAGTTACACGTCTGTTCCCGTCAATCGTGGGCGAAAAGCCGCTCTCATGCTCTGGCGGTATCGGACGTGTGGTTTAAGGCCTCGACGACAGGAAACGTGAGCTAAGGGTCGCAAAATAAAAGGTCACATGCAAATGATGCAGTTATAAGAAATATAACATACAGGGGACGTTTATGGAAAATTATGTTTTAACTGAAAGCGGGCACTGGAACGTATTTAACGAGACGTCAGTGAAAGTATTGATAAAATATATACTTTCTGTGGCATCTTCATTCTGACCAGTCGTCAGACGAAAAACTGGACAATCTTTCAAGGCCGGATCGCTGCCGAAGCTTATTTTGCGCAACGTGAAAACGTCGCGAGATTGGTCCCCGGAAACACATTCTGATCGGCCGAAAGACCACCGAGGCAATTCTCGAAACACTAGCATCTGCTTTACAGCTGGTGAAACGACAATCCTAGATATAATAGAAAAGTGTCCTGCTGTCACGGTCGCACATGACCAGCGATTAATGCCGCGTATGGTGGGTGACCAGAGTCATCCTTGTGTTGGAGATTAAGGCAGGCTGGAAGCAATGTTCCTTTTGGTTCAGAAATACTGTGACTGACTCACACGGGACAAAAAAAATAAAAATAAAAGGCCATCCGATTGACCCCTCATGTGGACTCCAGGGTGTCCAGCTGGAAGACGTTGTGATTGGTCGGCGTGGTGAAGAAGAGCTGCTCCTCGCTGGCGGAGCGGTTGTCGCAGGGACTGCGCAGCCCCAGCGTCCTCTCAAAGTCCAGCAGCTGACCCATGAAGTTGAAGTTGGGGGAAATGTTGGACTTCTTCCTCTTGACGAAGTCGTAGGCGTCGTTCAGCGAGAGGTTGAGCCTCTGCATCAGGTAGGCCACGGTGACCGTGACCGAGCGGCTGATGCCGGCCAGGCAGTGGACCAGGATGCCGCAGTGCTTGGACCGAGCTTCATCTGTAAGACCAAGGGAACTCTTTTATTATTACGCACGATGCCTGGAGGGGCCTCCTGCAGCCGGAGCTCCGGAGCGCACAAGTCAACTTGTGAACTGGCACCAAACACCAACACAGAGAGAAGAGACAACATTCCCTTCCTCGTCCAAAAGAGAAACCGTTCAGGAACCTCACGGACCCGGCGGGCAGCAGCGCAGGAAGAGTTTCAAGATTAAAGTGTCGTTGCTCTGCGAAATCGCCGCGCGACAGCTGATGGCGGCGAGGAAGGGAACCGCCATTCGACAATAATGGAAAAAAAACTCCCCCACGAATCCATTCACAAAACCAGCGTCCGGAGACAATCATTACCACTAAATGATTCAGAGGCTCGGCCTTGTTGTTAAACGCAATTAGAAAGCAGTGACCTCATTTACACAAACCAACAACAACATCTAAACACACACAAGCGTCTGCTTTGAGTTCAGCGGTTATTGAGCCACTCACCTATAAATGATATGGCCTCGGGGAAGAACTGGGACAGGTTCTGGCTCCAGTGGTCCGAAATGGGGATCTTTTTGTACCGGAAGTGGCCGTCGTGCTCGAACGCGTTGGGCAGGTTGGGCGTGACGTTCAGGATGTACTGGATGTTGTACTGGCACAGCACGTCCAGGTTGGTGGAGTCTTTGGCGCAGCCCAGGTAAAGGTAGGGCAGGATCTGGACGGGGAAGGCCGGCTGGTTGCCGGGGACGGGGCTCTCCTCGGACTCCGTGGCGCTGCCGGGCTCCCGGTCGGACTCCCCGTCCGAGCAGTCCGAGCTGATCCGGAGGTTCCCGAAGCCCAGGACGGAGAGCGGCGGGGAGGAGCTGGGGCACGAGCTGTCCAGGAGGGTCTCGCAGTGCTCCGGGTACTCGGTGTGAAACTTCACGAATCCACCTGAGCGCCAGGTAACAGAAGACACAGCGACGTCATGGCTTTGTTGTTGCTTAAAAATTAAACTGACACACTTCTGGGTTCCTGTTCCTATTTGTGTTTACACAGGACAACAAAAAAGGCGGTTGGGGAAGCGGAGCTGTCAAGCCCACACACACACACACACACACACACACACAAACCCCTTCTCTCACCCGCCCTCCCTAAAAAGAAACATTTCATGAAATGCGTGCCCGCTCCTGCTGGAGCAAAACATGGCGCGGCCATTTTGGAATTTTAATTGAGAATCTCCGGGACACAAACTTCGGAAGAGCCTTCGATCCGCGGGCGACCGCTGGGCGCTGAAGTGACGTCCGTCGCGTCCATAATCAGAAATCAATAATCGAGATTTAAAAAAAATAAATAAATAAAAAAAGGAAATAAATCGCGGCCGCCGTTGGGATTCAAATGTCGGTGCTTGTTCTAACGTTCGCAACGTCTTCCCGTTAAAAAAAAAGAAAGAGAGAAAGAACGGGCTTGACTCGCGAGCCGTCGAATACCGCGCATGGAGATGCTAAGCTAAGCTACGCTAGCTCGCCGTTCGCGAGTGAGCACGGGCGAACAGTTCGCGCGACGTCACTTAACTTCTGACGTTCTAAACTCCACAGCAGCCGACTTGACGTCGCACGCCTTTTTTTTTTCCTTCACGCCTAAAAACGGGGGGTTGATTTAAAAAAAAAAAAAAGAAGCAAACACTACGTCACCTTCCAGGTAAAACGCCTTACAGCCGTCCTCCCACAGCTTCTGAAGCAGCAGACCCAGAACCGACGCCGGGGCGCCGCCGTCCTGCCAGCCCGCGGTGGTCTCGTCGTACAGCAGCACCGTGTCCGTCTTGCAGCGCCTCACGAACTTCTCCTTGTCCTCGTGGTTGGGGATGATGGTCCGGATCGGGATGTTGCCCTTCTTGAACCTGCGGAGCATCAGCCCCGGTATGGCCAGGTTGATGGCGGTCTCTACGTGGGACGACTCGTAGAGTTCGTGCGAGCGGCAGTCCAGCAGCAGCAGAGACGCGGCTCCGGACTCCAACTCCCGCTGCAGCCATTCCACGCTTTTACTCGGCGTCACGTCAGACATGTCGGACTCAATATCATGCTAACACGCACGCGTTAAAAGCACACAAAAACACACACACACGCGCGCTTACTACATGTCCGGACTACATTTCGTATATCACGTTAAGTAATAAAAGACGCGTCAGATGTCGCCTCGCCGGCGCTTCTGCCGGAGCGAAGAGATTCCCCCCTTTTTTTTTTTTTTCTTGCTCCCTCTGCTCTGTTTCCATCGGTCGGAGAGCCCGCGCGGCCCCCCCGGTGGGGCTTAACGGAAGACCTCCTTCCACCGGGACCCACGGCACAGCGGGAGGAGGTGGGGGCGGGGGGGGGGTCGGACCCGAGTGTTCAAAAGCCGCGGACCTTCTTCGTCAACTTCCAGTCCGCTCCGCGTCGTGCGCGGCTCCTCGGCGCGCGCTCCCGTCTCACCATTCCGACGCGCGGGACTCCTTCTTTCTCCAAGTTGACAGCGGAGCAGCAGCTCGAGGGGGGCGGAGTCTGTTCCTTGTGATTTAAAGCCACAGCGGAACTGTCGCGCGGCGGAGTTCGGCGGCGGGCGGTTCTCAATGGAACCCGCTCGCTTCAATGCGACCACGTGACCCGCGTAACTTTTTATTTTTAATTGGTCGTTCAAATGTCGCGATGGTAATCTGGCATCATTTCCCCTGGTTTCAATGTGCGTGGCAGTCTGCTTATTGGATTTCAGAGCGTTGATCAAATCAGGTGTAATTATTAATTATTACACACGATATGTGTTATTATTGCGTTGTTAAACCAAGTCCCTCTGAAGTGCTCCGGTGATTTTATTCATACTTATTTTTTTTTACCATGGCCAGATTACATAACGGTATACCTGCATACATGTACAGTTGTAGTTCATTACACATGACCCACACAATACACTATTACGCTATACGCCTGTTCATTCATTCATCATCCGTGTAAGGGGACACCTTTTCACACGGTGTGTCTGTGGACGAGTGCCTGTCCCACAACACGTCCCCGCCTCTCTCTCTCTCTCACACACACACACTCATTCATAAAGAGACATTGGACCTGCCCACAGATGCAACAAGGAACCGAGCCGTGAACGGATGAAGGAAATGTGTTCTCGCCAACAACACCCTCTTCTGGAATCTTTCATCTAGATTTACCGGATTCACTGCACGTGAAGGAGTTATTTCAGGCGGAAGCTTGACCTTGTTTGTCAAATGCAAGAAGCGCATTATGCTGCGTTGTGTTTCTCGGGATGGTGAGATCCAAATCGACTTCGTGGATGTTGCTCGTGAGGGGGGGGGGGGGGCTTTGATGCATAATGACATCCCCCTGCGCGATAGTGGCGGTCACGTGACTGCTCCACTCCCACCTGTAGAGTCTGGTTACATAAAGTTCTCCAAACGTGATTTAAGGGTGATTCACCCACAGGGAGAACACCCCGCATGGTTTTGCAGCTTCTAGTTCTGCTTCCAGGGCCTTTTTTTACCGGCAGATGTTCAGGCGCCGGTGATGAGACGGGCGGGAGGGAGAACTTCCTCCCCATTGATGTTTCATCGATGTTCAAACACAGAAGAAAGAAGATGTCTAACACCAATACGTACATTCATATTCTATCTTCTCGCTGAATCGACATAAAATAACTACTAGAGATTTCTCCGCGGATACATCCCACCAATCCTTTTATTATTTTTTATTACATCCAACATGATTTTCCTCGCTGCGTAGACGGGAAACACAATATCCTGTCCTCTATTGATACCATCTAGTGGTTTTGCTTTGAAAGCTGCTGCACCAGCTATGACTCATTCGCAGGGGGAGGGATGGGAGGTGGGGGGGGGGACGCTCACAGCCCCTCTACCCCCTTAAAAGAACCAGAACGCCCCCGTGTGGTGAAAATCAGGAATGCCAAGAAATGCATTTAATTTGTTACAGGACGCCCCCACATCTGCCTTCACTCTGATTTTCGTGGATAGCAAAATATCTAAATAACTTTTCTTTTTGTATGCTATTTAGGTTAGAGCTATACGATAATGACTTTTGAAGTAAGCGTAAATAATATATCCTGCGCCACCTAAACCACATGCTTCTCCATCTCCTTCTCTCTGAGATGTAAGTCTGCAGAAGGAACCAGTGCCTCACTCCACAACATCTTAGAACTGATAGGAGAGATGATCGTTCCTCCAGGGACATTCCATGTAGTGAAGGTTTTCCTACTGTACAAGTAGGGTTGCACTGATTACGTAGCACATAATGTGCACACTATTAGCAAATAAGTGAAACAAGACTCAGAAAGTGAATATAAATACTGCCAGTACTACTACTACTACTACTAATCCTACCAGAACACCTCCTGCTCCGAAACCAACACGAGTCTGTTAGTTCAAACTCTGTGCATTTTCTTTTTCTAAAAGGAATTCATTTACGTTCTTTAAATTAGGACAAAGCAAGGTACAAATATATGCATTCAGAAAAATTTGGCTTAGTGCATTCATAATCAATACGTGTTAAAAAGTGAACATACAAGAGTCAATTAACACTTAACCCACACGTTTATTTAGGCAGCAACATGTTTTATGAATGAATAAATAAATGTATAGGTAAAATGCCGTCAGTGGGCTCGTTGGGATTTGAGTGTTCTCAAGCCACTGCTGATATCACGTGACTGAGGCCTGTGAAGTAGGACTTCTCCCTCTCGCTCATCAGCTCCAAGTGAAGAGGCCGCCGGCACAAGTCGCACTCCGCCGAGGACCGCCGACTCAGCTGCATGCCCACCTCCTTCCAGGTCTTCACCAGCCGATCTGTGGACACGGAGCAGAGAGCAAACAGCTCAGGAAACAACCATCTTGCCATAAATTATGGATATAAAATACAGCTGAAAGCGTCAAAAAAATCACAGAGGGCGTACCAACAAAATAGAACATCATCTGGGGGGTGTGGTGTGGCGTGGGCGCGATGCGCAGCAGCTCCTCCCCTTTAGCCACCGTGGGGTAGTTGATTGCCTGCACGTAGATGTTGTAACGAGACATCATGATGTCGCAGATCTCATTGTTCTTCTCTGGGTCGGCCACCTGCCCGAACACAACGCATCACACACCAGCTTTACGTCTCAAAGTTGGTCGACTGAATCGACTTGAATCCCCGCTAACCGGGTAGAGGACCGGTTTCCGTTACCCGGATGGGTATGATGTGGCTCGGGCAGCGGACGACCGGGAGGCACGAGTCCGTCAGCATCTGTCGGAGCAGCTTAACGCTCCTCTGATGTTTCCTGCGGAGCACCTGGCCCTCCTCGCTTTTCAGGACCCTGATGGACTCCCTCGCCCCCGCCAGCAGCATGGGGGGCAGGGAGGTGGTGAAGATGAAGCCTGCGGCGTAGGAGCGCACGGTGTCCACCAGGGCGTCGGTGCTGGCGATGTAGCCGCCCACACAGCCGAAGGCCTTGCCTGAAAGCGAAACCCCATAACAAGTCATAGAGGCACAGAACTGGGTAACCCGGGTCAGGGTGCTGCCATGCTCCCCCTCCCCCATTAGTTCTACTTACCAAGGGTTCCAGAGATGATGTCCATCTTGTACATGACTTTATCTCTGTCCCCGATCCCCCCCCCTCTGGGCCCATACAAACCAACGGCGTGGACTTCGTCCACAAAGGTTATGGCGCCAAACTTGTGGGCGATATCGCACATCTCTTCCAGTGGGCACACGGCGCCTGTAAAAGACACACGGTCCCTTGTTAGTCTATCTAAGTCATCAAAAAAACAAATAAAAAGTACAAAAACCTGCTTTATCTGTTCATACCAAATCCAAGGATGTGATTTATTCTTTGTTTTTAGAAAGAAGGCAATCTTTTAAATGCTCTAGTAAACTCAGACTCACCATCCATCGAGTGCACCGTCTCAAAGGCCACGATCTTTGGAGTGGAGGGGTCGGACCTCTCCAGCAGCTCGTGCAGGTGGTTGACGTCATTGTGACGGAAGACAAGCTTCTTGACCCCACTGTTTCTAATACCCTGGATCATTGAGGCGTGGTTGCCGGCGTCAGAGTAGATTTCACAACCTTTAAGGGGGAGGGGTTAAAATACTGAATCAAGAGAATATCCACTCAAATAAAATTGTCTTTGTGTAGTAAAAGGCATGGGACTTTCCCAGCTGTTTAATGCACCTGGTAGTATCTTTGCCAGAGTAAACAAGGTGGAGTCGTTGGCTACGAAGCAGGAAGTGAACAGCAGAGCGGCATCCTTGTTGTGCAGGTCGGCCAGCTCGTCCTCCAGATGCACGTGGAATCTGCTCGTCCCAGAAATATTTCGAGTGCCCCCGGCCCCGGCGCCGTGCTTTTGCAGTGTCTCCCTTGAAGAAAGGTATCAAAGAGTTTTCCTAAATGGAGGGGCACGCCGGTTATCTTCTCGTACCTCATCGGGGATGAATCCCAGTCGCCGATTGGCGGGCCCACTCACTCGATTGCCTGGGTGACTCTGGGGTGACGGCTCATGCCGAGGTAGTCGTTGCTGCACCACACGGACACGTCTCTCTTGGCACGGAGAGACTCTGAGTAGTCATCCGCCATGGGGAAGGAGGTGGCGCTCCGGTTCACCGTCTTGAAAACTCTGTACGTGTGATCAGACCGCTTGCCTTCGACCTTCTCTTCAAAGTACTTGTCGTACTGGAAGGTTACAACTGAAGGAGGGAGATCAGGAGGAGGGCTTTGTGAGGTTGACTGGGAAGAATTGATTGAGCATTAAGAAGTTGTCTTTCTTACCCTCGGGCAGGTTGTCCTTCAGAAAATGAGACACTTTGGAGGATGAGGATCGGTTGGCCTTGTCCGTCTCAACAAGATCCACAACGGATGAATCAACCTCTTTCTTCCCTGTTTAAAGGAAGATGAACACCATTGATGACCATTAATGACCTCCAGATCAACACGCTTCATTCATTTCTGCGGAGCGGCAGGTGTTGCCCGAGTGCGCACCCTCCAAACCAGGACCATACATAACCTGACCTATGAGTATCCAGTGATAGGCTGTCTACCTGCACGCAGAGTGTGCATCTCCTGCACGTCCTCCTGCAGCTCCATGCTGGCCTCTCTGACCACCCTGTTGTTTTTCTGCACCATTTCCGCAGCCAGAAACGGGCATTTAGAGCCTGCGGCCTGGCCAGCGGGTGACGTTGTATGGCCCGGGGGCAGCTTGACCTCATGCTTTGGACCTGCAGACGACAGGGATACATCTCTATAATACAGCATTAATTAATGCAAGTGAACAGTCAGATAGGCTGCTTTACTACCGACCGTCATTTGTTGGAGCGCCTTTGGACGCAGAAGCTGAAGAGGACAGAGCTCTGCCCATCATCACGGGGCACTTCTGGGCATAGCTGACCAGCGAGAACTTCCCAGCCAGCTGCAGGACGACACCGGGCACGGCGGTGAGGAACGGGCACCGGCGGATCACTGCATCCATATGAGAGCCTTTCGACCTGAATGAGAGGGAGAAAAAAAGGGAGAAGCATTAACAAATATGTCGAGATGATTCTCGCCGTGATCCAATTCCACATCAGTCAAATATATTGGAATGCAACCTGATCACATTATGAATGACTCTTCATTCAAGGATGTACCTCTGTTCCCACACAGTCATTATCATTTATTTTGTTTTACCTGAACACATCCCAGTCCGCCCTCACGTAACAGATGAAAAATGTCTTGCGAAACATGACTGATTCCCCACTAATCTGTGAGCAGTGACTGGAGAGCGATGTTATCATGAAAGCCCAAGAGAATGCTTTCATTCCGCCTCCCCCGCGGTCAGCTGTCCTTGACAAGCGGAAAAAGGGAAGGCCTTTCGAGGACATGTCTGGCAACGAAGGAGACGATGAAACACACAAGACCCCCCCCTGCCCCCTCCTGTGTATGTCAAAAGCAGAGGCTGGATCTCATGTCTTTGCTGCCTCTTTTCTGTATTGTTATTACCGCTGTTACCAAATCATAAATACTTAGGATCTGTTTTTTAATTACTGTAAGGATAACATATCTAGGTAAACCTAGGTTATCCATTTTATTTTATTACCACAGTATCTGATCTGATACATATAAGGAGGCTGTAAACTGAAAACAGGCATTGACAGATAGATAATATAAAAGACTAAGTAATATCACACTATCCAGTTGCATTTAAACATTTTTTAAAAACCATCCAAAGGATTTTGGAGAGGCTCTTTTTGCTCCAACAAAAATATTGAGTAATTAAATGACGCGGGATTTTTGGAATCACTCCTGATCAATTAAGACTGGACCACATGGCTGTAAACCATTCCTGTGAAATTCCTTCATATCATTATCTTATAATAATATGTAATATAATAACCTGGTTTATTGTTCAGAATCTAAATGGAGCGCTTATCGCCCTCGGATGATTTTTCTTTCACGTTGAAGAAACTCCAGCTGCAGATTTGCACACTGCGGTCGTTGGGGTGCAGAGCAGCGGTGTGCTGCACAAGCAGGAAGCCACGCCCACCGGCAGGTACGCAACGCCGCCGAAGCACCCAGCGTCCATTCAAGTGGACACGGAGACTATTTCGAAGAAAGTCTTGTTTTAAATTTCAAGGAATGTTTGGTCGTATTTAAACCTCTAAAGTACAATTATGATATAGTTTTCTAATTAACTGAAGTAGTTCTATGGTATTTCAGCGTTTTTCTGCCAAGGTACTTTTAACTATTTACTACATTACAGTGGGAAATATTTTACTTGACTAAATTTACTTCACTGCTATGTGACAAGCTACTTCTGAGATTATTACCTTTGTGTAAGAAGACATAGGCTACGGGGGGCGGAAGTGGGCGGAGCCTGGCTCCACCAGGGTATTCACACTGGATTGGGTTCAGGTGTGAGGTATCAGTCTCCCTGCAGCAGAACAGGTCTGAGTGATGATGTAAGTTTCTTTCCTCCCAGTATATTTATGTTCGAGGTACTTTGGCGTCTATGTTACACTCAGTTGATTGTTCATTCTGTCTGTTATTTAGTGTACGGTAATAATAGTACATGGTGTATTTCCATTTAAATACTTGTATTGACCGGGTTCCAGCCTCCCCTGCACTTTACAGCACTTGGTTCAGCCCGCCCCTCATACAGTCCTGAATGGGCAGTATGTTAGGGCCATTATGCATTAAGCTACCTTTTATTTAGATATAATTGAGATTTACATATACATACATTTCAAATGTAATAGTGTGACATTTCTTCTTATTGCTGATCTAAATACTTGATTCACCACTAGCAATGTGCATTTTTCCATGTATGGTATAAATAATTTGGTATGCAAAATGTTTTCAGCATTCATTTTTATTACCAAACATGGTGATCAACCCTTGTGTAGTTATTTTTACTGTAACAGTTATGTATTAAGAGGAAGCATGAATACAGAAATGAACATTGCCTCCACCTACTGGAGGAGATTGTATAAAGAAATCTCTTATGTTGAGAATTAATAAAGCCTCCAATTCCAAAAGCAGTAAATCAACGTAATCCGCTCACAAGGCGTCTCCGCACCGACAACCACAGCCGAGTTCTGTGGTTGTAAATCGTGTAAAGCGACGCTGAAACAATTACAAGCTTATTGACTCCATTTGTAAAGAACAATCCACATCTTTAGAATCCAAACGAGAAAATAAAAGAACAAACGGATTGTGACTTTTTAATGACGACCAGACATGTCACAATCATAAAAGAAAAGGTTGTTCAACATTACAAACATATTCACGGTTAAATCAAAGATCTGTCTTTAGTTTAGAGGCAAGCTTGCTTTTATTTTTTAATTTAGCAGTTCCCTCTTTCTTCCACTGAGTGGCGGCATGGGGGCTCACACCCAGCCCCCGTAGCGCAGCTTGTTGGGCAGGTAGATGCTGGTGAGGAAATCTGGAGCTATGGCTGCGAGGGACTGGATTTCGGCCTTGACCTTACTCTGCTGCATCAGTTCCATCTGCGGCGAGAGCCAACCGGACGGTTTGAAGGAGCGCGATGCGTGCAAACACTCTCAAATCATCATCATCATCATCTGGTGTTTATCTCCGCGAGTGGCCAAGGGTCCTCTCGCTCGCATTCCTGCGCCGTGTGTCACACGGGCGAGGATGTTACGACGCCATTAAACCGCCGAGAAAGGACACTTGGTGTTCAGAAGCGCACGGTAAAAGGTCAAGACTGACGCATCCAACTAAGGAAAAACTTCTTCTTGGTGCGTTTTTAAAATCGAGCTAATTGACATAATTTAAAGCGAGTCATGTTTTTGACCTCACACTCAGGAGTGTCAGATTAACCTGTTTAAAAAGGAGAACTACTCAGATGTCAAATAGCATGGCAAACAATGTTGGTGAATGGAGGTAAAAGCTGTTGGGTCTTTTTTCAGCCATACAATGAGTTTCCTTTTATTTCGCTCACACGTCTCTTCTCACCTCTTTCTGCCACTGGGGTTTGCCGGTAACGTACGGCCTCCCGAGGAGGCTGCACAGTTTGCTCTCATCTCTCCGGGTGAGGGGGATCAGGGCGTCCTTGGGAACCCGCAGCCTGAAGGATGAAATGATTTAAAAAAAAAAAAAAAAATCTTTTTCACAACATCCAACTACTAAATGTATTTCCATAAAACGGCAGCAGGCAGTTTAGTTAATGAACTGACCGCCTGTCGTTGAGTTACTATTTGCATGTTAAGGGAGAGACACAGGAGGGGAGAAAAGGCAAGGCTACAATTTAATGTATGTGAAAAAGTCCCTTTTGGCCTAAATCTGTTCAAGGGGACGTATACTTAAAACTCAATATGCTCTCAGTTCATAGAGGAAAGAAGAAAAGTGAGTGCGACAGCAACGGAAACCAAAAACAAACAACGCAAACGTCCCCAGAATATAATCCCAATTAGAGACAGGACGAGGAAGTAGCCAACGTCTGGTCCAAACCTCTGGAGGTCAGAGGGGAGGAGGCCCAGCCACATAACGCTGGGGACGGTCAGGCTGTGGGCCTCAAACGCCATCGCCTGTGAAACAGAAACACACACGGGGGCAAAAGAAATACACATAACTACACTCTAATCAGCTGTGTACCTACAGTGTGGTTGTGCCCGACAGACACATGGTCACAATGAACTCAACGCACACAGGGATGATTACACAAACATCGCAGACATCAACAAAGACGCTGCCACACAATCAGTCAACGCCGTCACTCCGTACGACGTCCGCTTCAATATTCCGAGACGGGTGATTGGGCCTTTTCTTTTTACTTAAAAGAGGGGCATGTTTACACAATGCTAACAGCGGGACAGTCAACATACAGCACAGGGAGAAGCGGCACGGCGGGACTCACCACGGATCCGTACTTGTAGATACACATGATCTCGATCCCTGGGAGAAGCACAGGGAGAGACACAGACGCGCTGCAATCACCAGCGTACCGCAGCAATTATCCTCCGCAATGCGCAACAGAGCTCAGGACAAAGTAAAGCATTACACATGTGTCTCGCCATGCCACGGGGGAAAAGGGTCAGCGGTATGGAGGCCGATGGAAAGTGAGCCGCCCCACCGGTCATGCCGACGGAAATAACGGTCGGGCTCGGCGCCATGACGTAGCGGACAGGTGCAAACATCTGCTAACATCTGCTGGCCTAGTGGGACTTTTTTCTTCTCTCTGAGCAGTGTGCGTGTTCGCGTGGAGCTGAAGGGGACGTTAAACGCGTAGAAATGTGCAAAGTATGCGCCCGGACAGACGGCGAGTACCGTGAGGGTCGGCGTCCACCAGAGCGAAGACGGGGACGTGCAGCGCGTCCCAGAGCTTCCTCACCATCAAGCGGCTGTTCACGTCTGGCACGCCTTTACCCTGAACCACGCAAGAGCGTCGCCAGCGTCAAGCAAGGCCTCTTTAAGAAGAAGTTGTGATGGATCGCTGTGACGTGGGGATTGACGTACTGTGATTATGATACAGGGAGACATCTTGGTGCAGAAGTCGTCGTCCAGTAGTCTCTGGAACGTTGCGTCCTTCTCAACGATCAGGACGAATTTAGCAGACGATACGATATCTGTAAAAGATGAAAGGAAAACAACCCAGACCCTGCAACCATGTGGAGTCACTGTAAAGTAGTAAGTAAACCATCAAAACTAAATCAATAGGACATTCTCAGACAAATTGTCTCAGACAAATCACAAAGGATACTTTTAATCCCGCGAATGTTAGAGGAAACTGAAACCGCCTGAAACCAAACGCAGACATGAAAGTGGGTTCGACTGGTAAAAGATGTCTGAATGTATTATTTTGTGCTAGCGCTGGATTGGTAGGAAACACAAAGCGCCCCCTGGAGCTGTTGTACACAACTTATATACAAAATATATAGTGAAAAAGGAATTGCTGAAATCATAGCGGGTGCAGAGTTTGGAGCACGGCGGCGGTTTGAGCGGTGGACGGAGCTCACGGCGGAGGTGGAGCGGCAGTCGATCCGCGTGCCGTCCTCCTCCATGTAACACAGGTCACCGGAGATGAATCCCTTCGACGTGGCCAACTGGGGACGTTGGAGACAGACAGACACACACGAGTTCAAGCCTGCTCTTATTAACACTGCCTCTTTGATTTCAACTTTAATTCAATTTCTGTTTGATCACAGGACCCCCCCCCCCCCCCCACCAGGTGTTCCCCAAGATAAGAAGCAGAAGAAAATGTTTAACAGATTTCATCTGTGTGGCTCGACCAAAAAAAAAGCAAAAGGCAGGATATGAAAAGGAATTTCTTCTACATGGTTTTAACGTCTGAGGCGTGTGTTTTTTTTCTTGCTCACATTGACGAGAGCACACACACGCTTACCACATGTAGTGATCGGCGAGAGACCTTTAACATGCAGGAAATATCATCCACTAAACCATCAACGGCCTTCTGAGAGCCAAACAGCTGTGCGTTGTTGTAATAGATGTCTCTGTGGAAACAAAAGCCAAATCTTTAAATTAAGGAATAATTGGAAAGAAACAAAACCTCTTCACAAAAAGAAAAAAGAGGCTGCAGACAGAATACAAGTTTAATCCCATGTAAAATGTGAACTAGTGACAAATAACCTTTTGGTGGCAAACGAGTTGCTCTGCACAAGTTTATAGATGACCAGGAAAAGCTTGACAATTTGCGCTTTAAACAGAGAAACAAAACAGAATCAAAGATAATAAACAGTTTTCACTTATCACGTCTTAAAATAGGACCTGAGCGGGAAAGAAAAAGGTGGATTCTGTTCTTAATTAGGATTAGGATGTGTACAGCGATCCCTAAAAGCCTTTTCTGACATATACTGCCTCTGCCAATTTGTCACCTAAAACAAAGTCGGACTTTTACTGCCGTGTGTGCAGTTTTTGGGAATGTGTTCAGGATGAAGAGAAATGAAAGCCACGTGAAGCACAGTACAAGTGAAAAGCCTTTTTGAATAAAAGGAATGTCGGTTGTCAAAGAAGAAACGAGGGGGCGGGGGGGAAGAAGAGAAAACACGTGTGTATCCTCTCACCAAATTTAGTGGCAGACGAAGGACAGTCGCTCCTCACGGCGCTGACGGAGCTTCCTGGGCACATTTGAAGCCCGACGGCGCTGTCGAAGCTCAAGTGGGAAGGAACGACAAGAAGAAAAAAATAATAATAATCATCTTGAAGCCATCAAAGAAATCTGCACAAATTGGGTTTGCTACGTTTACTTTCAGAGCTTTGGAAAATCAGCTCCCGCACCTGTGAGCCATCTAAAACCCCCCCGGGGGGCTACCTGTGGGAAGCCTCGTCGTCCCGCTTCCCTCCAAAGAAACCGCTGGCATTCACACATTAGAGGGGGCTGAAAATGGGCTTCAAGGTTTGATCCAAACAAGAGCAGACAGCCGCCTTTGTTCAGAGCGTCGCATTAAAAAGCCCTTTGTAAATGTGTTTGTGTGGGCCGGAGCGCCTCGATTCCTAATCATCCTGTCGTCTTCTAAAAGCCGCAGGAAGTTGTTTCAACTTTAGTTTACTTGTTCCAACAGTGGAAGTGAGTATTAAACAGTAATGTGGTCATCTTGTGTGTCCTGAACCCCCCCCCCAAAAAAGAAATTATAGGTAAATGTTTATTTATTTGGTTGCACAGCATGAGCGGTTCCGTTTATCCCTTACGGGTTAGAAGGTTTAGACAGATGTGTAGTCTGAGGGCGGTTGGAACATGTTGTTGACGCAGTCACCTGATGTTGGCCCAGCTGGATCTGCTGGGCAGTGCCAGGACCGGGGCCTCGTCTTTGGAAAGACTCGTCACTACTTCAAGGATGACGCTTTCAATGCGGGTCAAGATTTCCCTGCTGGAAAATGAAGATGGGAGAGCTTCAAATGTGGGACTTTAAGCCTCGGCAAGTAAGATAAATGTGTTTATGCCTTGTAGTGGAAATTCTTGACACACATTCTGTGGTTAAAACAATTAGGCAGGAATGTTTTTGTAATCCAATGAAGGAAATTTCTTTTAACTTGATACATCTGTAATTCGAATTATTCTTCAGTACTTTTTTTTATTTTTTTTAGCTCTTTTTGTATTTAAATATAAAACTAAAATACTTATCACAGGTTACAGCCAGAAAACAGTTACTTTAAACTACGAATACGTAGTTACTCAACTAAAGTACATCGGAGAAAAGTACCGTTTTTAATTATTATTACGTTTAGGCTACTTAGCTAACCTTAGCTTCCCGGTAACCCGGATGAAGCGCTAACGTTAGCTAACCCTAGCTAACTCAGTGCTCCGTCGCGTTATCTAACGGCCGGAACTTACTGGCTGACTTCTTCTTCAACACGCTGGAACTCTGTGATTACATCGACATTGTTCAGCAGTTCAGTGCGAAGCTTGTCAACTTCGGAAAATTGCCGTGCTACATGAGACCCCATCGTGTATGTTTCACGTTGGTACGATCCGAGTGTCTGTGAAGAAATCATATTCATGCGGATTTATATACACGGTGTTCCTGCGTATGGATATTGCCGAAACCTCGCGAGATTTGCCCACAGTCGCCCGATTACCTGTTTCTCTGCTTCAGTTTCAAGGGTCAAGTGCTCCTCGATAATTAAATAATTAACTGAGGCTTCAGGAATATATATATATATTTCTCTCTTTTGAGGTGTCTTCCAGGTAAGATAAGATTACACAGATGCCTCTTTTCAAGCATTTTATTGCCACGCACACAGGCACAGATCCTGTGTTGTGTTGCTGCTATTTTTGCCACATCTTTGAAACATCAACTCAGGAAGCGTAACTGTGATATCACGACGTTCCGATTTTCCAAAGTGTTTTTCAAACGTATTTCTTTTAATTTGCAGCATTTAGCTGTACTTTCCTTCAGGGCTTTTCCACTTGCAGTGCACTCCGCTCCACCTTTTTTCTTCCTCTTGTTCTATTTTTCACTTGTCTTTCAGGCCCAGACTAGCCTGCAGGGATCTGAGTACCTTTTCCATGGAAGGCACAAGGTACACTTGTTAGTTTCTGAGTTTTCAATGCAACTAATGTACTTGTAGAAAGATTTAAGGTCGACCGATTGTCGTTTCAGGCACATAGCAGCCTGGAAGTGACCGCAAGCGACCACCAAGCTTCCTCTTCAGGCTTAATGTCCGTACGTACGTGGAGCATTTGTCCATTGCTAAGGGGACGCATGTGTGTCCGCCCTTCAGTTTCTCGTTGGAGTAAGGTAACTGTAGCCAGTGGTGCTCAGAAAAATCCATCAGTAATGAGACCCTTCTTGTAAGCTTGTTGCTACTTGTCCAAAGGTGTGTCACTGTATTTGTGTGTTTGTTTGCAGTCGGATGGTTGGGGAGAAATTACAGTGGAGAGAATCTGTCAGCCACGTGGAAGCGATTCTTGTTTATTTATACATATATATATTTTTTATGATTGTACAAACATTACAATGACATTACGTGACAACTTTCAAAAATCTGTTCCATCTCTTGGTCGCATTCTGTTGAAGTTAAATCAATCTATTGTTTGATCTCAGAAATGTGCTCAGATTCTATAACTACTGGGTCACGTTGAGTCCCCACCTCCAGGAATCGCTGGCAGGCGTGCCGTGTGTGTTTGCGGAGGCACCGCGGCCGTTCTTTCGCAGTGTGAAGGCCTGGTCTGAGTGTGTGGGAGCCAGGATCCAAAGGGAAGAGGGTTGTGCCCCTGACCCGACCCTGAATATCTCCTAATGTGCAGCTTTACCAAAGGTTCCCCTTTCCCCTGAGTGGCTTTGACAAGCTGCTTCCGTAGTAATGGCTCTTAATTTCTGAGTAATTGCTATCTCTAAGCGATGAGGGACAACCCCTCACCCGAGCTGAAAAAAAAAAAAAAGGAGAGCCGTAACATGTGGAAGGCCACAGGTTGTGGGGGTCCTTTTTCTTCTGAAAGACGGAGCCCCCCTGCTGTTCCTTTGGCCCGGGAGAGATTTGTGTCGAGTGTGAGGCCCTTATCTGAGGAGACAGAGTGCAACGAGTCATGTGCTTCTCGGAACGACTGTTTGTACGGGGCAGGAGGCGGGGGTGGCAGGGGGCTGCAGGGTCAGAGGATAGAGAGTGGGGCCACTCGCTGCAGGTGAGGGGGATTAGCTGCAGCTAGAGGCCCGAAAGAAACTAAATACAGATCTGTCAACCTAATCCTCACAAATAGAAAACAGAGCTGCCCTCCCTTCACAATCCGCATAGTTCAGCACATCCACCTCCTGTTCCTCGCCCCCCTGCCCCCCCCCCCCCCATCGTCCACTTTCTTCCTCGGGCTCTCCAGCTCCTCTGTTTCTCATCAGCTCTTGGCCTGGGCCAGTCTGGCTTTTCCTCCTCCCCTCTAATGGCTCCTCAGTCCGGCGTCCACTAAAGAGGAGCTGACTGATCACCCAGGGTCCCCGTCTGATTGACAGACAGCCTTATGTGTGGAGTGGTGAGAGCAAGAGTCAAAGGGGGCGGCCAAGGCCTCTCGCCGGCAGAGACAACGATCTAAATGGGACCTCTGCCTTGAGCCGCGCGGAACCGACCCGGCTTTTTATCAGGCCCTCACACCTCAGTAATGGATGCTGATAAGTATGTGGCTGTAGGTGGAGACACCGGCTCAGCGTCAGGCGCGGACTCTGCGCCGATGACACAAGTGACAGAGCGCCTTGAGTGATAACATCCTGCGATGGATAAGCTTTACTAAGCCAGGCATTTTGGTAGGCTCAGCTAAAACACTATCTGTGACTGTCAGTCACACCGACTATGACTGATGGGTCTGGCCGGACCGCTGAGAGCTATGAATCAGACCCGAGCTCCTCTGGTGTTCCTCAGGGCCGTATGCCAGCGCAGGATGCGGGCCAAAGAAGAGGTGTAGCGATGGCGAGGACGATTACAAGCTGTATTACAACTTTGTTGTAAAAATACCAAAAAGATCATGCAGAAAAGGAGTATGGGAAAGGTATTCGGTCGTCTTTGCCAGTTCTGATTTGTATCTGGTTCTGACTAGTTTCAGCACAAAGTCCAACAAAGAACCCTTTCCTCTTCTCTGTTTTCTCTTTTTAGTGTTATTATTACTGAGCATAAAGAAATTGGTCACTCATTTGGCAGACCTTTGTCGTAGTTCTTTAAAGGAAGTGATGGGAAGAGTTTATAAGAGAGAGAACTTGGATTCAATAATGAATCCACATTGTGACAAATGCTATATGCCCCCGAGCCTAAATGAGATTTTCAAAGTGAACTATTTTGAAGCTGTTTCATATTCGCACCCCCCCCCCCCCCCCCCCCCAGATGACAGATGTGTCTCACATGTTTCACGAGGCCTCTGGAAGTGTGAGACAACAGAAGGGGGACGTTTGCAATACCTCAGCTCCACCTGGTTTGGCCGCTGGTCTCTGCGGAGCACACGGTGGGCTCACACCAAAAATGTAGACAAGGGCGGGCAGGACAGACTGAGAGGGTGCGGGTGGTTGGGTAGGTGGGGTGGGGTGGGGGGGGGGGGGGGCAAAAATGTGCTTCCACCTTCTCTTGTCCTTGCGCCCCGACCCCACACTGCTTCATGTGAGGGTCAGTTTACCCTGAAAAAAGCTTTACTGTATCGTCAGCGGGTCTGCTCAGACCGACCCCCACCCCCCCGCCGGCGTGCACAGGCCTTCAAAGGGCCGCTGCCTGCTGCTTTCTGAGGCAACACATGAAATAAATATTAATCTGACCTCTGACCGCATGCTTTGAGCTCCTAAATAGAGATAAGCGAGCCGAGGGAAAAGTCAGCGACTCTCGCCGGAGAAGAGATAGTGAGAGCGATATTACGCAGAGATGAAAAGGGTTATCTTGTGCTCACGTGGGGGGTTGAACGAGGGGGGTTTTGCGGCTCCGCTGTGTGGTCTCCCGTGCAGCTTAGGATCGTGCTCCAACCTGTTGGGAGTGTGGAGGTGTGTGTTTGCGCAGATTGTCAGATCATTGTGGGGAGATGTGGGAACTCTAAAAAAAGCCCCTGACCAAATGCTGATCTGAAAGCAGCCTATAGACAGGAAGACATAGTTATGACATGTAAAGACGTGGTGAGCTCAGCTTGGTAAGCCCTAATATATAACTCAATAGTTCTGGTTTTACAGTTCTGCCCTGGAGGGATTTACCTGACGAGCAGAAATGTGTTCGCTCTCTTAATCTTCCAGGCAGCAACTATTAGCCGAGCCCGTGTTTTATTTGACCACTTAATCGTCCTTACAGTGTGTACCACTGCACGTCTAAATATGTCAGCGGTTGTCTGCATCCACAGACGAAAACACGGAGTTTAGCTTGAGATACTTGACTGAAGGTTCCAACGCTACTTGTTCTGACTTTCTGCAGTAGTTTCCCTTGTCGAAGGCCCCTTCGGTGCGGCTCACCCAGCCGGGCCTCAGCCGGTGCCCACTGTTTACTGTGACTGTCATCGGGCCCGCGGAGGCCCAAACAAAGGGGGGGTCTGTTCCTATTATTCTGCCCCGGGACGGTCGACCCCTCTCTGGGCACGAACTGGGGAAAAGGGGTTGGACCTCACCAACCTTACAGCAAGGGGCAAGAGAGCAGGAGAATGAGTGTATGACAATAGGTGTTTGGGGGGGAACAAGCGGGGAAGATGTATAGTTCCAACTAAAACCAGGACCTTTTTCAAGTCCCTGTAACGTAAACACCTGCGGCCATTAGCTGATTCCATCTGAGGCACTGGATAGAAATGTTTATATGTCCCAGGCTACTACTGAAAGGCCATTTAAAAGTAAATAGAGGATTAGATATACAGAATGAGACGTGGCAGGCCGTGTAAGCTTTCAGGCTTTAAGCCATGTTGAATTGTCATTGGGGGGAAAAAGAAGAGGAGTGCAAGGCCTTTTGAAGCCAAGAACAACCACATTAAACGGGCAGGAAGGTGAGCTAAGTGTAGAAGACCCCGAGACACGCTCCGCCTCCTTCGCCTTCCTCTGCTTGCTTCCTCTGCCTCTCTCGCTGTGCCATTGACGTCTAATTTTATTATCGTAGCCGTAGCCCTAAAACATCTCAACTACAGAGCCTTTAAACCTCCAATCTCTTTGTGCAGTGAAAATCTTTTAGGAGGTCTGTGCAGATGAAGCAGCACCTGAGAATCCCCGCGAGAGCCGAGCAGAGCGCCCGGCGGGGTCAAGGGCGTTCCATTAAAGTGTGGTGTTTAAGAGGTGCTGGGGCCAGGAGGGGCAGATGGATGGGCTGAAGCAGCTGCCAAACATCTGCACCTCTTGCTCTGTCTGCGCGCCGGCCCGCCTTTGTCACAAAACTCCCGCCCCGGCGGCAGAACGGGAAGCTTGCATATCTGCAAAAATGCAGCAATGAAGTGGCCTCTGCGAGGGTGCAGTGCCGCCGCTCTGACACCAAAAGACGTGAACTAAGGTGTTCAGAGGGCGCACCTGCAGACGCTGAGGGCACCACCGCAGCTTGCATGTTGCAACCTCTCCCACAGTATTGAAGAATGATCGCCCTCTTATATGAAGTGTCTTATTATCCACAGGGACACTGACAGGCTTATTGGCACTGTCTGGACGTGTGTCCTTATTGAATCCACACAAACACTTTTCACGAATGGTGGGAAAGCAACGACGAGACGGTCTTTATCTAAACCGGATCATCACGATACAAATCCCGTCCTGGTCCCGTTCGTATTCGCACATGCAGCCACGAGTATGTTCTGCAACCGGGAACAAAGGAAAACTTCGCTCTGTCCCCATTAGAAACCACAACGCACTCTCTCCCCCTCTCTCTCTCTTTCACACACGCCCCCCTCCCCCTTCTACCTCCCCCCCCCTCTCCCTCGGCTCCTACATATTTAATTGTCCGTGTCTCACACCGGTGAGGCGCGTCTGCCGGCCGCCGCCTCTCTGCAGTCGTACGCTGCACTCCGGTCGGACGCTGCTGGCTTAGATGAGGACGGAGGTCCACGCGAGCACAAAAGTGAAGTGCAGTTGATGTTTAATTCGGGATCACTCCCCTCAACATGAGGGGTCGTACCTAAGGTTGGATATATAACACATGCCGCCTGCTGCTGCAAGTTCAATATCCATTTTTCTTTTTAAACCCCGAACACAACTGAGCGCAATTACGCACGGCGAGTGCCATGGCACCGATTTTGGACAGACGTGCTCCCGCCTTGCTCTTGGTTTGGAGCTACTGCGTGCTGGCGGACACTGCGTTCACGAACTTCACTTTGGATAACGAGTTCCACTCCAGTTTCATCCACCGTCGCCTGAAGAGCCAGGAGCGCAGAGAGATGCAGCGGGAGATCCTGTCGATCCTGGGGCTGCCGCACCGGCCGCGACCTCACCTCCACGGAAAGCACAACGCCGCCCCGATGTTCATGTTGGACTTGTACAACGCCATGTCCACGGGGGGGGACGAGGACAGATACTCGTACCCCTACAAGCCCGTCTTCACCACCCAGGGGCCCCCGATAGCCAGCATTCAAGACAACAACTTCTTGAACGACGCGGACATGATCATGAGCTTCGTCAACTTGGGTAGGCTTCTCATTCTCTCACCACAAACCGTGGAGGTACGGTTTTACAGGTTTTATAGACGTTGGAAATGAGGCCAAAATGCACTGTTGTGCACCACAGTTATCCCTCATGCACAAGCTTATAATAACAGTAATTTGAATAGGTAAAATCCCATACAGTTAGTTGAGATATTGAATGTCCCTAAAATATACATTTGAATGACTCTCATTATCACACACTGTTTTTAAGTTGCTTTGTTTTTTTATAAGATCTACTACATCTAGCCATATATACATACTCTTTACTGCAAGTATGTCTCTCCACCAGATGCACTGCTGTTTTTTTTAGGACCCGTGATTCTGTCAATGAGTTGACGTTATAGTTGTCAATTTGCTCTTGTTACCCCGGCCCGACACATGCGCACACAGGAGACCAGCACAACGACCACCTTTACAACATAATAATGATAATAATACCAGGAGTATTGCATTCCAGGCCGTCTCTGCTGAACAGCTGTGCAACCAGCTCATGTCCAGGTGCTGCAGATGATGGACCAGCCGGCACATAATATGTCAACCATGTGTTATCTAAAGAATGAGTAAGTCAACAGCAGAATGGGTTCAAAGTGCACCGGGTCCTCCCTCCATTCTAATCTGGAGACGTCCCTTAAGACACTCAGGACACGAATGCAAGTCAATGACGCTTTTGTTGGTCTCACCGTTGTGTCGTAGGCACGTCACTCACATTGATTGGTTTAGTTATTGGTTGTTAAAGGTTGTTCCCAGAAGCAGTAAGTCATCACAATGTTTATTGAAATCATTTAGTCGGCCTATCGGGTGTGGGAGGAAATAATTCCAACGTTCTAGCAGGCGGCGGCAGATTTATGGATGGATAAACGCATTGTTGCCCCACTCTGGTTCCAGAAACGTAGCTGTGTTTTATTTGACTTATTTGACTTCCCTACATTTTGACAGAGAAAATCGCAAATGCATTTTCTCGGGAACTCCGCGTTAAAATGTTTTGGGAAGTTCTTCGAGTTTGAAGTTGGCCTTCAATCCTGCAAGGAGCCTTGTTGGAGTGTCTCGGCTAGAGGGAGGGAGGTGACACTGCTTCTTCCATTCACTGCACCGTGTAATTACTGTGGAAGCTGCTGCATTGTAACTATTTTTGAAAGGTTGATGAATTTGACCACAGAGACTCTCGGAGTCGAGGGCCACAGTTAGCTGACAAGGTAGAAGGGAATCCTTCTACGAGAGAGAGAGAGAGAGAGAGAGAGAGGGTCGGGAGATGATTGGGACGCCGCCTGAAGCCCTCAGGGAACCAGAGAAAAGATGGGCCGCATCAGCAGGAGAGAACCTTTCATTTAATAGATTAGAGAGGATCGTGACAAGAAAGTCACACGGCCTCTTCCTCCCCCCGGGGCACATGTTCAGTCTTTTCCCAACGTGCCGCTCGTTTGCGCTGTATGTGCTATCTGCCACGTGTTGCCTCGGTCAGTAAAGGGTTCACTGTTTCTCCCCGAGTCTCAAATCTGCGTCCAGGCAGCTTGATTCAAAACAGCAGATGATATTCAGTTTCATTCCCCTTTTGAGAGAGAGAGAGAGAGAGAGAGCTATCAAATGGATTGACCATTTCCTCTTCAGAATTCCTTCCTTGCCGCATTTGCTCATTGTGGGTTTGTTTTCTTATTTAGATCGTCTGAGAGCGAAATGAGTGCGGCTTGTATTTAAAAACTGTCCCTCAAAGCTCTGCACGTCTCCAGACTCCGTCCACCGCTCGCTGGCTCCGGAGAGGCCCGCTCTCGCGCACTGCTTTGGAACCGTGTTTGAATGCTATGGCAGGAATGCTCCAGATTCTTATCAATGGCTGCATCGTGTAGCGACAGTCAAAGAGGGAAAACCGCGTTTCCACGAAAAGCCCAAATGGACGCGACTCGCCCTTGCTCTCCCTTCCCCGGCGTGCCACCGCGACACTTTGTTGTCCGCAGACGCCATCGCGGGCGGGCCAGCCGAGGGCGGTTGTGGGTCTTTGGGACGGACCCCAGAACCAGGGACGTCCCCCCCGTCACCGAGTCCCCTCGGTTCAAACGCCCGGCTGTGTAAATGTCTCACGGAAAAGCCCACGAAATGAAAACGTGCGTTTCAACGCGTTACCTGCTGCTACGCACACGAACCCCGTCTGTCTGCACGCGCTTCCTTCATTGCACGCATGCCCGTGCTTCTCGTAACTATATTTGAACGCAGTCCCAGCGGTCGCTGGCAGCATTAGTCCTCAGCCACTTTGAATTAAGGCATTTCCTCTTTAACAAACCACAGCTTCCAGGGTTTTCGCCCGCGCTGCACTCCAGTCGGGTTCAGGTTTAAAGGCTCACTCACACCTCCCTCACCCCAGGGGAGGGGCTGTGACTTTCACGTCTGCTATTCGCATCCTGGGTGAGTGAAACGGTAGCGGCATCCACACCTGTGTTTGTGTGTGGGGGGGGGGGAATGTTTGCAGTCTTTCGCCGTAAAATGTTGGCATGAGCTGCGTTAGTCACCGCTTCCTTATTTTGTCTGAACTCATGCAGTCTGGCATGGATAAACGTAGCCTCAGGTGAGGTGAGGCGAGGTGTGTGCGTGCGGGTGTGTGTCTCTTTTTGGGCATAAAATTCTGTGTAAAGGTTTTACCATCGTACTCTGTCTCTGCAATTCAACCCCCGAGCCAATCAGTTACTCCTGAAAAGAAAATCTTTAATTATATATTTTTAACACTTTTACATTTTATAATATTTGAACATAGAGTAGTTTTGATTATATATCTGCTGTCAGACTTATCCTTTTTAAAGATTTAATGCCGGTAATTCCAAACATACAATATTAGAGCTTGGTCTCGTACAGACTGCAATCACTGGCTGTAAATTTAAAGTGTTGAAAATATCAAGTTTGTAATAAAGTGCGCTGCGTCTGCTGCTGTTAATCTGCTCCAGATGGGATTTCACCAACCGGGATGGAGAGCGGGTCACTAACAACGCTCCTCTGCTCTCTTTCTCTCATCGTTGCAGGAGGCAACTTCTCGGCCCTCGTATCAGCCAACTCGATGTGTTGACGGGTGATTTGGGGTTTCAGGGTTGAGAGCGGGGTAATGCAGCAGACTGAAAGGGCACCGCCTGGCCCTCCGTCATTCACGTCCATCTGATGGATTAGTTTGGGTGTCACCGGCTCGTACCTCCCGTTTAACCCCCCCGTCGCCTCCCCTCCTCCCTCTTTCCTCGCCTTCCTTTTCACGTCCCGTCCGCAGGCCAAGGCAGCTGTTTCAAGGAAA